TGTTTTGTTGTGTATAAGGTCACTGAGTCAGTACCGACTCGACAGCACCTAACAACAATGACAACAGTGGAAGACAGCATGATACAGTAAAAAGTATTGTGTACTAGCAATGGAGCTGCAAATTAATTTGTTTTGTAACCTTAAGCAAATTATTTTATGATGTATAAAATATGGACTTGCACTGTTGTTGTTAGGTGCTGTCGAGTCGGTTCTGACTGTAGCGGTCCTGTATAGGATTTCTGACTAGCAGCTGGTGGGTTTGAACCACCAACCTTGTGGTTAGAAGTCCATTACCTATATGCCACTAATTGGCCCTTGCTAGTCCTGGTGTGGCACTGTAGGCTAATGTGCTGGACTGCAAAGTTGGTTTGAGCCACAAGGTCACAGGTTCAAGTTCGCCAGCTGCTCCTTGCAAACCCTATACAGTGTTGCTATTGGTCGGAACCAACTTGACGGCACTTAACAGCAGCAACAACCTAAGATTCTGTAATTCTATAATAACTTTCCCCTAGGAAATGGTAGTGACTAAAGAAAAACTACTGTATTGTCTGTAGTGTCACAAAGTACATAGATGCTGAGTTAATCTGGAGTGTTTTTTGTGCATTGCTTCTGCTGTTTGTTATCAACTTTCAGCATATTAAGATATATTTACATGTTTCATTTTAGGTGCCCTAATGCATGAGTTATCAAATGATGGTGCTCGTAGACAATTTGAATTTTATCTGGAAGAAATGATTCTCCCTCTTATGGTAGCTAGTGCCCAGAGTGGAGAACGAGAATGCCACATAGTGGTGCTTACTGATGATGATGTAGTTGATTGGGATGAAGAGTATCCACCACAGATGGGAGAAGAGTATTCACAAAGTAAGTGTTGTGGCATGTTTTTCTTTTTTTGAAATATCACAAGTTGTCTCTTCATCTTTTACAATATTAATCAATTTCATTGTAAAAAAAAAAAAAAGATAAATTTCTATAAAGAAAGTTCATTGTACTTTTAATGCACCAAATCAAAACCAAACCCATTGCTGCTGAGTTGATTCAAATACATAGTAACCTTATAGAACAGAGTAGAGTTGCTCCATAGGGTTTCCAAGACTTTAAGGAAGCAGACTGCCAACATCTTTGTTTCACAGAGTAACTGGTGGAGTTGAACTCCCAATCTCTTTGAGTAGTAGCTTAGTGCTTTAACCACTGTACCACCAGGGCTCCTTTATCTCACACCAAGAGTCAACACACTGTAACTTCTAGGCCAAATCCAGCCTACCACCTATTTTTGTAAATAAAATTTTATTGGCACATAGTCACATCCATTCATTTACAATTTGTTTAAGGCTGCTTTTATGCTATAGTGGCAGAATTGCGTGGTTGTAACTGAGACTTCATGGCTTATGAAGTCCAAATTCTTTACTTTCTGGCCCTTTACAGAAAACAATTGCCCACCCTTGCCATACTAAGAAATAATTTGTTCTTTGTTAGTCTCTGGACCTTAATGGATATATATATATATATTTTGTTTTGTTTGCATTTAGAAATGAGTAGATGTCCTTATTATTAAAAATAAGCTTTTGAAAAAATGAATTTTTGTGTATAAAATGAGAAGATTCAACTTACTGATTTTTCAAGCTAACTTTAAATTCTAAGTTAGTCTTTTTTAAATATCACATGTGTATCTGATCTTTAGAAAGGTTTGTGGAACTATAGTTGTTTTAGGTATTTTTGACCATAGTAGCATATCTTGAACAACAATAACTAACATTTTTCTTTTTCCTCCCTCAAATATTTTCTGATAAAAGTTTTTGTTGTTTTTTTTCCTTAGAAAATTTGTCTTCTATTGTTTCCCTTGATGAGCTCAGTAGAGCATTTTTGACCAGTTTCATAGATTGAGAAGAAAGAATGAATGATTTCAGGAACTAAACAAAATAGCCCATCCTGATATAATTCTGTACTCTAGTCTGTTGACTCAATGAGTATTAGGGTTTAAGTGAAAGTACAGGAATATAGAAAGGCAGCAAAGAGTTTTAGCCTCTGATTCTTCTATTTATTTACCTTCTCTAAAGAAAAGCAGACTGTAAATGCTATTCTTTCTGACTTCTTAATAAGATTTTCAAAAGAATATTTTAACACACATTATGGTAGCACTTCTCAGTGTTTACATGAAGATGATTCCTTTGAGTGATAAAAGTGTTGTGATTCTTTTGTAACCAGTTGTAGCGATAGGTATTTCTGTTTCTGTACTCAGTCCTAGGCTCTTTGTTAAGAATGCTGTTTTTAAAAATATAATATATGGAATAAAACCATGAATAAAAACAGGAAAAAATAAGGGTTACCAAAAATCAAAAGAAGTATGCCAAATTATTTTCTATTAATAGAGAGGAATGGACAAAATTGTAATTTGTATTTTCTTTTTCTAAAAGTTTAATTCTAAGAGTGGTACTAATTATAGAACACAGGAATGATAATAAGTAATACAGGGATTAAAATAGACCTGAATTTCCTTTCTAATTATTGAACTTAACATTTCAATTTTTGTTTTCTTGGTTTTTTTCCTTAAACTCTGAAGGGAAGGTTAAAGGAATTGAAAACATTTTTACTTAGTTTGTCAAAATATGTTCCATATGAAGTGTATGATTTGTTGAATGTAAAACTAATGATATGCTTCGTAAACATTCACTCAATTCACAGTAAAAAGTTAAGAAAAAAAAAATTTCATCTTGGTCCATGGTATTTTAACTTAGAAAGGATTCGTTTGGGGAGATAGAGATCTTCAGTCTGGTTTTCCTAAATGTAACTTTGTGATACCATCCTTTCTGAGATACCAAATAGTATTTATCTTGAAATATCAGTAATCTTAGGGATATAATAGTCACAAATTTACCCCATGAATAGCATCTGTGTGTATTTTCCTCGTAGTGGCTCCTATAAACCAGCATGTTTGGTTTGTGAGTGTATTTTTCTTCTTTTGAAAAAACCTTTGCAGTTCACCTTTTAAGGGAGATAACTCCACCTGAAAAAGAGAAGGCGAGGAAGGTCCATCAGTCTAACTCCCTGAAGTTCCCAGCACATTTGGAAGACTCAACATGTTGTTAGTGGATTGTCTGTCCTTTGCAAAGCCAGTTTGCTCTAAACAGACTAACCTGGGCAGAACATGCTCGAATCTGCCATCTTTAACATCAGTATGAAATGGGGCTATTCGCCTGAATGGAAAACAGTTTGTGGGGGGAAGGGTGTCTTTATCTTTTGGGGAAGTTATTAATAGTTGCTCAATCCATGAAATGTTAAATATGTCTGTTTTGTACTCTTTGACAAGGCAGTTCTTTTCCTTCAAACTAGGCCTTTTAGGCATAGCAAAGTTTTACTTTGCCTACTTGATAATAATGTGGTAATCTTTTTTTTTGGTTCTTTTATTTGAAGAAACTTGGGGGCAGATCCAACTCCAATAAGCCTTCATGTGACACAGCTTTCAGGAGATTTCTTCTTATGGATTGGGTTACCTGATTGGTTATCAAAGCTTTTCTTGTTTCAACCTAAGTAGACATTTGCTTATACATTAACTGTACTGAATTGTTGTCCTGTCATGTTGGCTAGTCATCCTTTGGCATCATTGCATCCATCCAGTATTTGGGCTTTTAACTGTCAGCCCCCTTTAATGACCAGATAAATTTAACTTCCTCTCTTGTGTTTTTATTTTAATTAGAAAATATTTTTGTGTTTTTGTTTTCAGTTATTTATAGCACAAAATTGTATAGATTTTTCAAGTACATTGAAAACAGAGATGTGGCCAAATCAGTTTTGAAAGAGAGGGGTCTTAAGAAGATTAGATTGGGAATAGAAGGTAAGACATCTAAATTATTTTCTATTAGTTTTCTTTTGATAAAACAGGATTTAAAAATTGGATTTTCTATAGGATATAGTTTGAGTACTTTGAGAAAAAGTCTGATGGAAGGTAAGAATTTTTTTTCATTATTTTCTGTTTTGTTTTGATAAAGCAAGGTTAAATAATTGGGATTCCATGTAGAATATAGTTTGAATACTTGGAGAAAAATTCTGACAAATTGAGTTTGTAATACTCACTGTTACTCAATTCCTATTCATAGTAACCCTGTGTAGGGTTTCTGAGGTTGTAAAATATTTATGGGAGTGGAAAGCCTCTTTCTCCTGAGGAATGGCTGGTGGGTTTGAATGCTAATCTGTGATTAGCAGTCCAGTGCTTATCCCAACAGACCTATAAATAATAACATTCAGCTTCCTTTATCTGAGACTACAGAGACCATTAAAAACTTGTTGCTGTTGAGTCAATTCCAACTCATAGTCGCCCTATGTTGTTGTTGTTAAGCACCATCGATTCAGTTCCAACTTACAGTGACCCTGTATAAGGTTTCCAAGGAGCAGCTGGTTTTAGGTATTTGTAGGACAGAGTAAAACTGCCCTGTAGGGTTTCCAAGGCTATAATCTTTACAGAAGCAGACTGCATCATCTTTCCCCCCAGAACAGCTGGTGAGTTCAAATTGCCAGCCTTTCAGTTGGTAGTTGAGTGCTTAACCACTGTGCCACTAGACTCCTTAACCTTATTGGTCCTTTTCTCTAAATGGTATCAGTAAATATGCTTTCTGTTTCAGCCTTTTTATTTATTTCGTAGGACTCTCCAAATTTCCTACACTAAAGACTAATCTATTTTGCACCCTCTCTACCACAAGTTCCTCAAAAGGAGTCTGATTATTAGAGCATTTAATGTGTTGACTTTTGTGGATGCTAAACTGGCCTGATGTATAAGGAATGCTGGGAGGAGGACACGGTAGAACTTGGATATGTGAGGAAAGATCCTTGTTCTCTGGTACCATATTCACATTCAGATTTGGCTGAACTCAGTCCTATCTCAGGACTATTCTACTTAACTATAAGCAGATTGCTGGGAAGTGGGGTGGGTTTTCTTCAACAACAAAAAATGTTTTGGATGGTAGCTGGGATAGTAATACCTGCCCAGATCTTTTGCACACTACAATTCCACTAAGAGACTGGATTTTTTTGTTTGTTTTTTTCACCTATCCCTTAAAGGAACAACATGTCTCATTCAAAGTTGAGTTTGAAAAGAAGTGTAAGATTGTGGTGGCTTGCTAGTGCTGTTAGCAGACCATATCCAAGATGGCCTAACTCGCATCATTAGGAACCTTGTCCCGAGCTCAGTGGAAAGCTCTCTCTATCAGAATATTTGACTAAGACTTAGAATAGTTCACAAAATTTAAGAAAACCCGAAATAATATTGTTGAATTACAGTTGCCCCAGGAAATTCAAGGTTAAGTGATAAAGTATGTAATTATATGGGATATCGATTGACTCTTCATTTCTGGGCAAGAATGGCAAGATAATAGTAGAACTGTCTTTTAGCACTGAAGGCTCAGAAGCCTAGATTTCCCAGTTCTGTCATTCTAGATGTAAGCAAAATAATAATACCTGTAAGATAAAAATCAGCTTGAAAAAAATTGAACTTCTCTTCATTTAATATATTGTTGTGTTGTTAAGTGCCATTGAGTTGCTTCTGACTCATAGCAACCTTGTATAGGATTTCTGAGGATTGGCTAGTGGGTTTGAACTGCTGGACTTTTAGTTGATGTTGTTAAGTGCCGTCGAGTCAGTTCCGACCCATAGCGACCCTGTACAGGGTTTCCAAGGCTGTAAATCTTTATGGGAACAGAAAGCCTCATCTTTCTCCCATGGGGCAGCTGGTAGTTTCGAACTGCTGACCTTAAGGTTTGCAGCCCGATTCATAACCACTACGCTACCAGAGCTCCTTGGGTTTTTAGTTAGTAGCCCAGTAATCATTCTAGTCTGTGAAGCTTTTCTGTTTTTTGGGTTTTTTCTTCTTAATATTTTATTACTTTTTAGTGAAAGTTTACACAGCCAGTTAGGTTCCTCTTTAACAGCTTTCATGCAAATTGTTCAGTGACATGATTTACATTTATCACAATATGTCAACAGTTTATGTGTTCTATTTGTTACCGTTATAGTACTGTAATATCCCTGTCCACTTTTATCTTTGCTTTTGAGAAATTGTTGACCTTTTAGATCAAGAGGCAAAATCATCATATACATTAAGGTGCATGGTTTATAATCAGGGAAGCTGTGCATCAGGGTTGGATCCTTTACCATATTTGTTCAGTATGTATGCTGAGCAAATAATTTTTTGTTGGACTATATGTGAAGAGTGTGGCATCAATATTGGAGGAAAGCACATTAATAACCTGGGACATGCAGATGATAACAGCCTTACTTGCTGAAAGTAAGGAGGACTTAAAATATTTACTGATGAAGATCAAAGACTAGAGTTTGAGATGTATGGATTACATCTCAACATCAAGAAAACAAAAATCCGAGAAACACTGTTGACTGACGATGTATAGAGGGGATTGTAATCAATGTAATGAAACAAGTCATATGAATGGCTGAATGTGAAACTGATGATGTGCCCTCCCTGTAAACTTTCACTCAATCCACAATAAAAACCTTAAAAAAAAACCAAAAATCCTACCAATTCAACCAATAAGCAGGACCATGATAAATGGAGAAAAGATTGATGTTATCAAGGATTTTATTTTACTTGGATCCACAATCAAGCCCATGGAAACAGCAATCAGGAAATCAAACATGTTACATTGAGCAAAATCTGCTGCAAAATATCTTTTAAAAGTGTTTAAAAACCAAAGATTCACTTTGAAGACTAAGGTGCACCTGACTCAAGTCATTGATACATTCACTCAACTTGTATGCATGTGACAGTTGACCAATGAATAAGGAATGCCTAAGAAAAATGGACTTCTTTGAATTATGGTGTTGGTGAAGACTATTGAGTATACAATGGACTATCAGAAGAACAAGAAATCTGTCTTGGAAGATGTCCCCTCGGAGAGCCAGAATGCTCCTCGTAAGTGAGGATAGTGAGACTTCATCTTATGTACTTGAACATGACATCAGGAGGGACCAATCCTTGGAGGACATCATAGTTGGTAGAGAGTTGATGAAAAAGAGCAATACCCTCAAGTAGATGGGTGGACACAGTGACTGCAACAATGGGCACAAATAGAGGAAATAATATAAGACCAGGCAGTGTTTCGTTCTGTTGTACGTACATAGGGTCTTTGTGAGTTAGAACCAACTCTATGACACCTAACAACAACATAGATACTTGTATACGTTTGTAGCTATATATGCATCTGTACCTACCTATGTACCACTTTGTCTGTACTTCTCTATATGTGCACAAATGCTGTCAGTTACTCTGGTTGTGCTGTGCTCACTACATCCCCAATTGGTGCCTTTTCCCCATCACAAGATAAAAGTGTCTACTGTATGAAGTGTACTTTCCCCAAACCTTCCCTCTTTGTGGTAACCACTAATGAACATTGTTCTCTCCAAGTTTATCTCTTGTTATCTTACTATAAAAGAGGGATCATTCAGTATTTCGTTATATGATTGATTGATTTATGTCACTTAGCATTATGTCCTTCAGATCCATTTATGTTATGTTTCATAGACACATAGTTGTTCTTGTGTAGTATTTCGTTTTATGTAGGTACAACAGTTTGCTTATTCATTCACCATTGATGAACAGTTTAGGTGTTTCCATTTATTTGCTATTGTGAAGAAAGCAGTAGTGAACATAGGTGTTCATGTCTTTAACAAGATTCCAGGAATTGACAGAATACAAATCGAAATGTTTCAGTAAAGTGATGCAGCACTTAAGGCCCTCAATATTCTATGTCAAGAAATTTGGAAGACAGCTACTTAGATAACTAATTGGAAGATATCCACATTTGTGCCTGTTCCAAAGATAGGTGAGCCAACAAAATGTGGAGATCATCGAACAAGATCATTAATATTGTATGCAAGTAAAATTCTGACGAAGATAATTAAAAAACGGTTGCAACAGTACATCAACAGGGTGCAACCAGATAGCACAAGCTGCAAGAGGATGTGGAATGAAGAATATCATTGCTGATGTCAGATGGATCTTGGCTGAAGATGAGAATATCACAAAGATGTTTACTTATGCTTTATCGACTATACAAAGGTATTTGGCTGTGTGGATCATAACAAACTATGGGTAACATTGCAAAAAATGGGTATCCCAAAACACCTAACTGTGTTCATGAAGAATTGATACATAGACCAAGAGGCAGCAGTTTGAACAGAACAAGGGAATACTGGATGGTTTAAAATTTGGAAAGGTGTGTATCAGAGTTGTAGCTTTTAACCATACTTGGCACTGTAGGATAGACACTGGATCACAAAGTTGGTTTGAACTGCAAGGTCAGTGGTTCAAACTCACCAGCCGATCCTCAGAAACCCTAGACAGGGTTGCTATGAGTCAGAACCTACTTGATGACACTTAAAAAAAACACAGCAACATTCAGTCTTTATGATGAGCAAATAATCTGAGAACCTTGATTAGAATTAGAAGAACATGGCATCAGCATTAGAGGAAGACTCATTAATTATGTGCAATATGCAGATGATACAAACTTGCCCCCCCCTTCTTTTCCCTTGTTTTTCTTGAAACTTGTTAACTTTATTATTTTGTCTTTTTGGTCTTCTGTCTGACTCTGTTGTTGTTTCCTTTGCTTTTTGTAATTTGGATATTTTATTCTTCAATTGCAGTCGTTCTATATTTGTGGTTTTGTTGTTGTTGTTTTAATATTTTCAGTTTCTTTAAGTGTCTCATTTTGTTCTTGTTTCCTGAACTCTGCTAGTTTGTTTTCTATGTGCTTTTTGCTTTCTTTAAACATATTTAGAACCGTAGTCTGAAAATAATCAGTTCTTTGCATTATTTTGGCTTCCATA